TAACAAAACAAAGTTCCATGATGAAAAAATTTGAAAATGGTAACCTAGGCTTCACCTATTCAATAAGTTGAATAACTGAAAGTCTCAACTGACTTTTGTCCTAGTATAAATGGAGCCACAAAAAATATTTTAAATATTAATTTGTTCATCTGAAGTCTTGGGAGTCAAGAAAAAGTTCTGCCATTCACCAAGAAACTATTCTCCTGCTCAGACTCTCTTCCTCTCCAACCAGATGGACTAACTTTTCCCACATTAACTTTACCCTGAATGATCTGCAGACCTTTAGCAGGAATCAAGCCAACAGTGTGTGTAAACCATGCAAGACCCCTCCTATAAAATTGGCTCGAAGACTCCAGTCCTCAAAGTCTTTGCTAAATAACCCTTGAGAGTGTTAGTTTACAAATTTGTCACTTTTCATCCTTCCTGTTAGACACTTCAGCCTCAGGAGAGCTGAAGGGAGCTGTGTACAGGTCTGTCATGCATGTTGCACTACAGACTTGTAAGAGCTCTGTCTTCCCTTGTCAGAATGCACCTGACAACGCACTGCCGTGTACCTTGAGGATGAGGACTTGCTGCCTTCCCCGGGCTCAGAATTCAGTTTCTCATCAGCAAAAATGCACCCAACATAAAAAATGACGTACATCTTCTTTCATATATCTTTTGGCCACTGATGAATATGAGACTAAAGCTGACTCTTCCATGGGGTGACAACACATGTTAAGTTCTGTTACTCTGAGATAAGCAAATGACACTTCTTTGAACACAAGGCAAAATGATTGAACACCTTTCACTATGTTTTTCATGCACTTCTCACATGTAATAACAAAGCCTTTTGGTTAACTAAAGTTAGAGAGCTAGTACATTTGTTTGTTCAGAAGTTTTTGGCCTAGAATAAACTCAGCCCAAGGTCACTGAATCAGAAATTTTGACAGTCAGAAACTGACCTTCCTTCCCCATATCTATACACAGAGCTCTATTCATTTCTCCTAAGAAACCACATTAAAACTCAGGACTACCCCAAAGTACTCTTATTTGATTAATAATCCAAGCAGATTCTTTCCCCTTCTTCCTGCCTTCTTTATTTACAAACCCTTCTAATGGTCTTCAGGTAATGCTGGCCCAGTGAACCAATCACAGCAACTCTGGCAGAAAGGAGTAAAGGCATGACCAAGATTTCAGACCATCATAGTTAGTTCCCCTCTGGTGCTCTTGTTATGGCAACAGCATACTTTTCCACAGCTGAGGAGGCTGTTATGCAGGGGCGGGGAGGCAGAAAGAAACGCTGAAAGAGGTGTGTCTATATTTCTGCTCATTCCCCAGAGCACAAGTCTCCTTGAAGGAGACAGTTCAGAATTTACAAAAGGAGAAAGGTAGCAGAAAGAATCACATTAGCTAGCATTCCAGAGGCAGAAAAGTCTCTTTAAATGTCTGAAAACTTTCTTTTTCAGTAAAATATGCATCTTATGATAGTGAAGGAGAAAACTGGAATAGGGATAGGACACTAAATTTGAGGCTACCCATTGCCATTAATTAGCAGTATGGCACTCACTAACAAGTTACTTAATTTCTCAGGGCTTCAGTTTCTCTTAGATAATCAGAGTATTTTGAGAGTGAAACCAACTAATAATTTTACCTTCCATTGAGGCTAGAAGTAGTTTCTCAAAGAACCAAAATTAAATAAAATCCAAGGGCATTTTCCCCCTTGAATTTATTTACCAAAATTTTTTCTCTTCCCTAATAACGAGGAAAGTAATATGAGAAATCTAAGGTTACAGCAAGTGTGTTTTCACCCATCTTTTCTCAAACCACAGTAAATAGATTTCTAATACAAGCTGAGTGACTGTAATTTTTCTAAATGTTAGCACTTAACATCTATACAAGCATTTTGTTTTAGAACTAAAAATCTTATCCATCCTCAACACCCATCAAGATTTTAAGACCATTCAGCCCTGGACAGTGTGGTTCAGTTGGTTAAAGTGGCATCCGTGCACTGAAAGGTTGTGGGTTCGATTCTGGTCAGGGCACATAACCAGGTGGTAGGTTCAACCCCAGTCAGGGTACGTAAGGGAGGCAGCCGATCAATGTAAAACATTGATGTTTCCCCCTCTCTCTTTCTCCCCCTTCCTCTCTCTAAAATCAACAAAAACATATCCTTGGGTGAGGATTTTAAAAAAAGATTTTAAGACCATTAAGAGCAAGGATTGCATTTCCTACTTTTGTCTGTAGTCCTCTTTTGTGCAAAGCACTGCACTGGGCCCACAAAACTCACTCAAGATACCTAACCACATTAATTCAGGGGTCTGGAGGAGACCAAATAACAACAAACTATCTTATCCTGGTTCTGGGAAATAAAATTACATGGGGGAGAGAGAGAGGAATGTAACAAGAGAAATGAACAAACCATGAGGGCATAATATGTATGGAGAGCTGGGGGAAATTAAATCAGTAAGTATTAAACATCACAACAGCACCATGTTAACTGCTATAAAATAGTGATTAAATCCAATTGCAACAGTGGTATATTCAGAAACACATTATGTAAGTCTTTGTGTTAAAAATCCAACGATCACAATGTGTTCTCCCAATAAATACAGGCTTAATGTAATAGATGAGCTAACATGACAAGTATTTAAATCTGAAAACAACAACTGTGTGTGCAGAAACTATCTGGAGGCAGGTTAAATGATATTTGAGAAAGCAGTAGTAACTGTGTGTTGGGTAAATGATCAGTATTCCTGGCAGAATCTTTCCAAGCATTTTAGGAACTAATCCAAACTACTAGACTGGATTCTATCTTTAAAGCAAAGCTTAAAGAATATGCCCTTATTTTAAAAGCATGGTAGCTTGTCTCTTTGAAATATGCCAAAGGGGTGCCCCTCTGTGTCTCTTCTCTCAGGGGAATAATGATTACTCTGTAGCAGTGATTTTCAACTGGTCTGCCACAAGAATTTTTAAAACATGCAACACCTGACTATGTAGTCAGGGGCACTGACCCCTTTTCCCTTAGGTTGTCAAATAAAAAAATGACAACAGCCAATACAATAGCCGTCTGGTGTGAATGAATCAAAATTATATCTATTTTTTGTCAGATCAGCAAAAAATGTATTTTTTGGTGTGCCACAGAATTTTAGTAATTAGCTTATGTGTACCATGAGATGAAAATGGTTAAAAATCACTGCTGTACAAGCTAAACATTTAATTCCTTCCCCAACCAAATAATAGCTGAGTTGCAATTGTTACTATGACATTATCTTCTGAACTGCTGGAAGCAGAGGAATTTACTGATCACAAAGAATTCTATGTTATAAATTCCTTTCCATCACTTCAGAAAACAATATCCGTTCCTTAAAAGCTGTCAGTTCAAGTTCAAGACAACACTACCTGGAACAGATTCTGGTCTGCCAAAATCTTTCACAACTAAAAAGCAAGGTCTCAATATGCTCAGGGGCTGGCCTTAAATAGATCAGATCCGGAGGGAGGTTTCTCCAATGAAGTAAGCAACCTCACTAAGAAACCTCACTGTGTTGCAGTTAAACCTTCCTTAAACCCAGCTCTCCATACATATTATGAACTTCTCAGGCCTAGGCTATTTTAAAGTCTTCCAAGCCAGCCACCCCTTCCCTCTAGAGTGGCCTGGCTGGATTCCTCTGTAGAGCTGTCTCCCAGATTTTCATCCCTTATTGGCAAGGTCTTACTACTCTAAGGTCCCTTGTACTGTGGAACGGATTCAAGGACAGCCAACGCCTAACTGGGCCCGTTTGGTTGTAGTACAACTGGTGAGCCCAGACTACAGGAACAATCTAGCAGTCTTGGAGACTGCAGGGACTGCCAGCACAGTCCCAAACCTCTAGTGACAGGGCACCCCATCACCAAAAGAAGGTAAAGTTCCGAAGTTAAAAATGAACCACCGTTCCCTTCAATAAGGCCCCTTAATATCGCTTTCTAGTTTCCTCCCTTTGGAGAACAGCCCAGTCAGGGGGACACACAACCTTTGAGCTCCCTTTTCCCGTGACCAATTTAGCGCTTCACCTCTACCCCACCTCTATTGAGCCCGTTTGGTTGTGGTACAACTGGTACAACCTTCCTTGTAAACAGTTCCTGGTCGTAATTTGAAAAGCAATGCCCAGGAACCTCCCTCTGCACTGCCCCTTCCTCAAAATCAAGCAATCCCACCGACCAGGGTGCCCTCCTTGATAATGGCCTCTTCAATCTATCTCCAAACTCTTCGCTGCCAAAACCCTACTCCCTTAAGGCTGCCAGCGCTCTACCATCCCCACCTCCTTTCCCTTGACTATTACTTGAGCATTACTTTATCATCACTCTGTCCTCCAGCCTGGGGACTCTCCCCACCCGTGGGGCCTCGTCTGCAAAGTAAACAATACTGTCAAAGCAGGATAACGCTGGGCGAGGCTTCCAAACTCCGCATTCCAGCCTACTCCTAGTGTTCTAAAAGCAGCAAAACAAGTCATCGCAGAGTCCCAAGAGCGAATTCCTCTCCCCAACTTCTTTCTAAAAAAACCTAGGAGACAACTCCAAAAATCAAGTATTAATGTGCAAAAATGCACAATATGCAAGAGGCAGAGGTAATGCAGAATGAGTGCAAGGCCAAGTGTAGACAAATTTGCCCGGGAGGGGGAGGAGGCGGAGAAGGGGAAGAAAACTAGGTCGAGTGCATAAACCTGCCACGAAGCGGGAACAAGGGCTTTTTTTTTTTTTTTTCCGCGACAGGAGAGCCACGTTTCCAGAGTGGGCGCGCGCTCAATCGAGCTGCGGGCAACAGAGAATTCGAAGTTAAGGTTCCCGAGGGCAGCCCCAGGGGGCTTTGGTGCAGCTGGGCAGGTTGGGTCGGGGAAGTTGGCCCAAGCGAGCGGCCCAAGCGTGGACACGCCCTGAGTTAAAGGGCCACGGCGGGAGACCAGCGGGACACGGTGGACGTAGCTGATTGCAGGCTCGGGGGTTGTGGGCCGCACGGTGCCCGGGGAGCCGCGGCGGGTGCTCACCTCCCGGAGTGGTGGAGAAGAGCGTTCCCCCGGGCGTGGTGCAATAGTCATGAGGTAGCTGCGCGGCGTCGCTGATGGGCACGGTGCGGGTGGGGATGGCACGGCTCTGGCTTGGCTGGTGGCCGCTGCTGGCGGACGAGGACATGGCTCTAGGCGCGGGATCTCGGGCTTTGTCCCGCGGAAGGACAGGCGGGCGGCGGCGGCGGCGGCTGGGGGCTCGGGCTACTCCGGCAGCTCGGGCGCGCGGAAGGGCGGGCGGGGCTGAGCGCTCTCAGCTTGCTCCTCTCGGGCTTCCTCTCGCTCCCTTGTCCCGCTCTGCTGCCGCCGCCCTCTCAGCCGCCGCCGCCGCCGCCGCCTGATCCTCCGGCCTCCGCCAGCAGCCTCAGCAGAAGCAGCAGCGGCAGCAGCGGCGACGACGACAACCGGAAGCGGGCGAAGGCGGGAGCCAGCAGGAGTTCGAGGAAACGGGTCTGCCGGAAGTGACGTCGCGTGGGCGGGACCGCGGCCAAAAGGGGCGGGGCCGTGGACGGCTCCACGCCTACCAGGGCCGGACGTGAGCGGGAAGGGACCTGCGCGAAGTGTTTGCGAGCCCCGCGAAGGTAGGCACGGAAAACTTTACTGGTTTTTTTCTTTTAATTGTCAGCACTACTTGAGCGGACTTTTGATTCCTAACCCTCTAAGCAAAAGTGTAGTTTTACTTTTAATTGCTCAGTGATAAATGTAGGCAATGCATGCTTGATGTTTTAAAGAACAAATCAGAGCAGAAATGTTTACGGTGTCACGGTCTCCCAGTTTCCCAGTTCCCCTTTCCAGGGGAACCACTGGTGCCATTTTGTTGTGTGTCCTTCTAGAGAAAGGCTCTATATACACATATAATACAACATATAAACATGAAGAAAAGAGATTAATAACTACCCGTGTCACAAGGATGAGTATTGAGTTAGAGATAAAGAAACTGAGGCCCAGAAGCCCTGGCTGTGTAGCTCAGTTGGTTAGAGCATCTTCCCGATAACCAAGGTTGTGGGTTCCATCCCCAGTCAGGGCACATTCAAGAATCAACCAATGAATACACAAATAAGTGGAACAACAAATCGATGTTTCTCTCCCCTCCTCTCTCTCTAAAATCAATAAAAACAAAACACAGAAGCACAGGGGAGGGTTAGGACCACAAGGTACCTGAAAAATCTAGATCTGAAACCTGTTTTTTCCTCCAAGAAAGAATACAGTATGGTCTCAAAATTTACATTCTTTTTAAAAAATATATAACATGTTTTTATTGATTTTAGAGAGAAGAAGGGAGGGAGAGAGATAGAAACATCCATGAGAGAGAAACTTCAATCTGCTGCCTCTTGCACACCCCCTTCTGGGGACTGAGCCATAACCCAGCATGTGCCCTGACTGGGAGTCGAACTGGTGACCCCTGGTGCATGGGCCAATTCTCAAAATTTACATTCTTAAAAATTATTAAGGATCCCAAAGATCTTTTGTTTGTGTGCATTATATCTATTGATAATTACTGCATTAAAATTAAAACAATTTAAAAATGTTCTTTAGTTCATAAAATGTCATTACATGTTAATGTATTTGTATTTTTAAATTTATATTTCCCCCCCAAATTAGTGAGAAAAGTTGTATTGTTTTACATTTTTGCAAACATTTTAATGTCTGCTTAGTAGAAGACAGCTGGAGTCTCACATCTGTCTCTGCATTCAGTTCGTTGTGATGTTTTGATTCAAGCATCTGAAGAAAACCCAGATTCATACAGGTATGCAGTTGAAAAGAGGTACCCTCACAGGTTCCTAGACAGGGTCTCAGGGGCCACCCCTCCCAGGGATCTCCAAATCACACTTTGAGAACTGCTGCTCTAGGCAGCATTGCCTCTGCCCACAATTTGCCCAAGATGGAATTGAAAAGGTAATCATGGATACTATGAACGTCAGTATTTTCTTGTTTTGTGAATGAGGAAATTGAGGCTGAGATATAAGTGTTTAGCCCAAGTAAAACAGCTACAACTTCACTACTCAGAGAACGAAACCAACCATGTGATTGGAGAGTTGGAACCTTCAGTCCCACACACTCCTGATCTCTGGGGACGACAGAGGGGCTGGAGATTGAGATCAGTCACCAATGGCTAATTATTTAATCAATCATGCCTTTGTCATGAAGCCTCCATAAAAACTAAAAAGGACTGGGATGGGGAGGAGTTTGGAGAGCTTCCTGATTGAGGAACACTTGGAGATTTGGGGAGAGTGGCACACATAGAGAGAGCGTGAAAACTCTGCACCCTTACCCGGTATCTTGCCCTATGTATCTCTTCCATCTGGTGGTTCCTGAGTTGTATCTTTTTATAATAAACTGGTAATCTAGTAAGTAGAATGTTTTCTGAGTTCTGTGAGTTGCTCTAGCAAATTAATCAAACCCAAGGATGGAGTAGTTAGAATCTCAAATCTATAGCCAGTTGATCAGAAGCACAGGTGACAACTTGGGCTTGCAATTGTTATCTGAAGTGTGTGTGGGGGGGGAGTGACGCAGTCTTGTAGGATTGTAGGACTGAGTCTATAACCTGTGGGATCTGACGCTATTTCCAGGTAGTTAGTGTCAGAATTGAGCTAAATTGTAGGATACCCATCCAGTGTTGGAGACTTGCTTGGTGGTGAGGAAAAGACCCGCACATTGGAACTGGGAGAAGACTCTTATCTCTGAATGTCATCTAGGTCTTTGGGGACTTGGAAGCTGCTGATGCAATTGTAACCTCACAGGTACAGTACCCCTAGATCCATAACTGATGTTCTGCTAGGATTGAACATGTAAATTATACCACTTTAGGGCAGCCCTTTCTTGGAACTTTTAGTATTTATTAGTATAACTTGATTTTTTTTTAAATGGAAGTGGCCTGAGTATCTTTAAGCCAAGTGTGCGCTTCCTGTAGTCTGTTATTCTACTAGTTAGCTACTGTGGCTTCTCAAAGCTCATTCCTTCTAACTCCACTGTAGCCACCTCATACTCTATTCCTCTGCTTCTGTCTTTCCCAGGGGCAGAAGAAGATTGGTTGTTCCCCACCCTCTATAATGTGGCCACCCACACTAGATCTCTATTATCATAGGGATAATAGCCCCTAGATCTGTATCATCATAAGGATAATAGCCCCTAGATCTGTATCTTCATAAGGATAATAGCCTCTTATCTTTGGATAACACTTTTCTACTTTACAAAGCATATTCAGACCATTATTTCACTTAAACTGAGCCACAGCCCTGTGATGGAGGCAAGCTGCTTATTATTCTTATCTATATTCTACAGAGAAAGAAACTGAGGCTCAAAGAGGTCATGACTTCTCTGAGGTCGTACATCCAGGACCCATGGAGCTGGGACTAGTGCTCAAGCTTCTGGCTGGCCATCCTATGCACTTTCTCCTGCACCTGCTGACCTCCTGCATTATAAAGAGGGTAAGATGCCCCTGGGCGCCCACTCTTTATCTTCACATCTGCCGAACTCATTGGGGGATGAGCAGCATCCATTTCCTGAGCTGGAACATAAGAGACACAATATGTTCAAAAGGTGATGATAGTTATAGATAACATGTAGACATTTAGGCTGAGTCAGGTGCTGTACTAGGCCTTCTAGAGATTTTATCTCTAGTATCCTAACTGCCATAAAAGGGTAGATGTTATTATGCCTATTTACAGGTGAGGAAATAGCTTCAGAGAAGGTAGCTTGCCAAAGGTCACCTGCTGTGTCTCTAGAAATTCTCTGGCCTCTCACTGTGGTTGGAAACAGTCCACTGTGCACAGGCTTTGATATCAGACATGCCTTGGTTCAAATGCTGGTTCCTCCACCTGCCTGCTGTATGACCATGTTCTCACATCTGAAAAATAAAGAGGAGGAACCTCTCATTCACAAAGTGCTCTCCTGAGGACTAAATGTCAGGCCCAGCCAAGGTCTTGCTGATGGGAATGGTGGTTAAGCACCAGTGAGATCCAAAAAGATGCCAGGAGCCACAAGGCTGGGAGAAGAGGGGCAGGTAGGAAAGTGACATGGTATGCCAGAGGGCACCATGCTTCAGTTTCAGTATTTCCTCATTTGGAAGACTTGTCAGGTGATGCCAACAGAAGTCTGTGGTTGTAGAGTTCAGAAAATGAGGTATGGTTTCTTCAAAGTTACTTAGGCATAATGAAGTCCTCCATTGAAGCCAGTTTATTATTTGCCTGTTTGCTACAATTCAACACTTTAGTTCCTGTCTCTCTCTCTTCATGTCCATATTTAGAAGAGAAGATTCTTCATGGGTACAACCCTCCCTCTATTACCCCTGGCCTGCAAGGTGAAAGTGGGCAGTATGCTTAAGGCTACACTAAGTCCCAGTGGCATGTGCCTGGTTTTGATAGGTTGAGCTCCAACCAGAAAGAGCACTTATGAAATGCAAATACATTGTCATTCCAAACAATGAATGGTGCCAGCCATAGCCCAGGGGCAAGGCGCACAGTATACAGAGCCTGGGAGCCAAGAGTGGGTGCTCTGCCCCCAGGAGTTTCTGCCCTCTCTTGGTGGAACTGAGGGTTTTCAATGGGAATTCTTTATGATGACTGGGTGGGCCCTGTCAATTCAGAGTAGAAAATTTGGAATCGATTGCTAGAGATCTGATTCTCCATGTAGGCTCTGGACTAGCTGCCTGGCTTTCATCTCTCCAATTAACTCTTTCAGAAATATTTACTCAGCCCCTGCTATGGCCCTGGCTCTAGATTAAGGGGTGAACAATGTGCAGCTTCCACCTAGCCCTGGAATTCACCTGCCTTGGCGACAGCTCCTGCATCCAGTTCTTTGGCTGGATTTGGATGGGGTTATTCATCCACCTGCACTGAATTAGGCTCAGAAGCCCTGGAGTAACAATGGTTGGCGGTGTGTACTGGATTATGTCATCTTCCTTTCTTCCATGGCTTCCCATTACTCTTGGAATCTTGAATGACGCCCTCCCTGGTCTGGCTCATCTACCTTTCTCCCTCTCGCTTTCTGTGGTCCTGTTCCTCAGATGGACCGTGTTCCTTACTGTCACAGGGCCTTTGCACATGCTAGTCCCTTTGCTTGGTTGTTCTCTGTGATGACCAGACATTAAGGTGACCCCTGTGTTCTTCACTTCCGGGTGTTCACGTCCTTGAGTGGGGGTGGGACCTGTGACTTGCTTCTAACCAGCAGAATATGGCAGAGGTGATGGAATGTCACTCCTGTGATTACATCAAGTTTTGTAAGACTCCATGTTGCTAACAGACTCATTCTAATCCCCCTTCCGTTGCTGGCTTTGAACAAGCCAGGTGCCCTGGGTCCTACATTCACAAGGAAATGAATTCGGTCAACAACCTGAGTGAGCCTGGACGTAGATCCTTCCCCAGTTCCCCAGTCAGGCTTCCACGTGAAAATGCAGCCCTTCCTCCCACCTTCATCACAGCCTTGCCAGCACCAGCTAAGCTGTGCCTGGACTCCTGACCCACAGGAACTGTAGATAATAAGTGTATTGTTTTAAGTTGCTAAGTTTGTGGTTAGAAAAAAAAATCTGTCAGTTTGTCACTATTTTCTATGTATAGCGTTAGAAAACTGCTGTACTTCCTAATATCCACATAGTTGACTCTTACTCGTCCCATCCCACTTAGATGGATTTTCTCAGGGAAGCCTTCCCTACCCTCTGCCAGGCTTAACTTCCATAGGCGCTCATCTCCACACAGCCTGCACTGTTATAAATGTGATTGTTTAATTAGTGTCTGCCTCTCCACTGCACCATAAGTACCATGAAAGCAGCTATTATGTCCTCTGCTTCTCCAGGGACTAGCACAGGTGCCTGGCATATGTAGGTGCTCAGTAAGTGCCTGTTGAATAAATAAATGATTGGTAGCACATTCAGGGTCAGGAGGAGTGCAGAGCTGGATTGGTCAATGATTAGAGGCTAAAATGACTTGGGAGAGAGTGCATATTGTAGTCCTAAAAACTCACTTTTATTGTGACATATCTGAACAACTGAAGCTAAAAGTGTATTTTGGGGCATCTTTGATGGGAATTGTATGTGTCCATACAATTGTCACACTGAACCACCCCAGGACTTGGCATGAGTGTGTTTCTCTTGGAAACTCCAGACTCCCTCCTTCCAGAAGAATTTCTTGTATTTTGATCACCAGGCAACTCTCTTAACAATATCCTTCCTATGAGTTTCCACCTTCCTAGTCAGAGGAAGGAAAATGCAGGGGGAGAAGGGAAGGGTGTGGTTGGGTGGAGGGAGCTCCAGCCTGGCAGTTTCAATAAGGCCTACAAAATACCAAATAGCTGCCTCAGTAAAGGAAAGGTGAGTACATGGGTGCTACTCATGTACTGAATCATATCCCCCCAAATTCATATGTTGAAACCCTAACCACCAATGCAGTCGTATGTGAAGATGTGGCCTTTTATTAAGGTTAAAAAAAGTCAGAAGTGATGTAGTGCCAGTTTTGAGCCTAGCCCTTGAGAGACCTTGCCTGATTCCACTCTTGCTCTTAGAACCCTGAAGCTCCATGTGAGCCACATTGGGCTAGCCTGCTGGTGAATGAGAGACATGTGGCCCAGTTACCTCAGTCGACAGCCACTCCTAGATGCAGAGGCCTCTGGCTGCCTAGCCACTCACCCAGGTACATGTGTGAGTCCAGCTGAGGCCAGAACAACTGCCCAGCTGAACTCAAACTAAAATGCTGACCCATAAAATCATGAACTAGTTATTGTTTTAAGCCACTTCTAAGTTTTGGGGTGTTTTATTATGCAGGAGAAAAAGTGCTGACTGACGTAAGCACTAACCATGTGCCAAGCTCTGGTCTATTTGAAATCAGGCAGAACCTTGGGCAAGAAGACTTGTGCAGAGACGGCATAAGAATAGGCATGATGCAGTAAGTGCTCTGTAGAAGTAAACACACTAGGAATAGAAGTGGCATTTGAGCTGGAGAAGAGTCTTGTCCATGTGGAGTTGGAGGGGCTGGAGATATAGTGATGATGAGGTTGGGGAAAGACTTCCAGAGTCTTCCTGGGAAGGAGTCAGCAAACATGCTGCTCAGGCATCCTCATGAGTGGTACCCCCTGAGGGCAGGGTCTGTGTCTGATTCATCTTGGTATACCCCAAGATACAGGGCCTTGCCTACACTGGGCATTCAGTTTTGAAAGACTTGCTTTGGAGATGTTTCTAATTCCCTTCCCTTTATTCCTACTTGCCCAATTGTATTAGTTTTCTAGGGCTGTTGTAGTCAGTTGCCACAAGCTGGCAGGCTTAAAACAAGAGAAATGCATTCCCTCACAGTTCTGGAGGCTAGCAGTCTGAAATCAAGGTGTTGGCAGTTTGTTCCTTTTTGGACACTCTTGGGACAGAATCTGGTCCTTGCCTACAATCCTTGGGGTTCCTTGGTTTGTAGAAGCATTGCTCCCCTCTCTGCCTCCATTGTCATGTGGCGCATCTATGTCTCTAATGTGTGTTTTCTCATAAGAGCACCAGTCACAGCCTACTCCAGTATGACCTTATCTTACATCTGCAATGACCCTATTTCCAAATAAGGTCACATTCTGAGGTACTGGGAGTTAAGACTGCAACCTGTCCTTTTGGAGGAGACACAGTTTAACCCATAACATCCATGAAGACCCAGGGGAGTATGTGTCCCTTATCTGACTGCCCCAGTCTCCAGAGGCAGAATTAAATGTTCTTTCTTTAGGACTCCCACACATTTAATATGTGCTTCTGCTTTATTAGAGCATCTGACTTGTTGGTCATCCTCACTGGTTGAGTTAGGGGCCGTATTTCTTCCATCTTCCCAATAGAGCCTGGAAGAGGGTATATGGTGAGTCCTCCGTAAATGCAGACCTGTGAAGCTGCGACCCTTCCCTGGGCCGTTATCCTGTTGGGCACTGAAACCTCAACATTTCACTTACTAACCCTCACAATGACCTTATGAAGTAGGTGTTTATAGGTTTTAATTCCTATTTCATAGAGGGATTTAAAGGGATTTACATTGGGATTTAGAGAAGTGAAGTAACTTAGTGTAGCCAGAATTATTGTACGTAAAAACCTAAAGGGCGCCTGAAGGCACCACGTGAAAAGTTTCCTGTTCCCTAGCTTCACGTTTCTCAAACTATGCCGATCTGGCCAACTCAGCGCCATTCCCTTGAGAAAAACAAATCTGGAGCCTCGGTCCTACATTCCTGAGTACACCTAGCCCTCCGTGCGTTTTCCCTCCAGAAGCTGCACACAAAGCGGATCCACCCACGAGAGCGCGCCGGCC